TGTGGACTCAATCCCCAGTGAGAGTGTGCAAGAGGCAGCCGAATAATGATTCATTCTTTCTCATTATTGATGTTTTTATCTCTTCCTCTCCCTTCCTCTCTGAAATCAATATATATATATATATATATATATATATATATATATATATATTTAAAGAAATCATTACTACTCTCTTCATTACAATATTTTAAAGCATTGGCCAAAAGAAAGAGTTATTGAGAACATGGGACAGTCTGAAGAATTTTGCCAAGTTTTGTTTTTCTCATGTGTGCATTTTACTTTCATCCCTACTGTTTGGAATGATATTTTTCATTGCTTTCATTCATCACACATGAATTATCTTAAGTAAATATAATTGTTTAATATTTCCTTCTTTGATAAAAAGATTAAAATGCTTCCCTTCACTTATAATAGAAAAATTAACTCATATTACACTCTTTTATAAAACGCTTTTGTAAATTGACCATGTCAGAGAAGAAGGGAGATGTTGCAATTATATTCTTTTCATAACTCCTATTTATCTTAAACATTATTTAATAGTAAAACCATGTCAAAATATCTATACTAAATTACTATTTGGAGTACTGAGCCTAAAAGTGTGTTGTGAGTATAGTTATAACAATTATAACATTTATCAGAATCTTTTTATTTATAAAAATCTATTAATGGAATAAATTATTTTATCTCTGAGCATTACTGAAAACCACAGTTTCATAGCATCACTAGAGTCACTACAAATACATTTAATATCTTAAATATAAAGTGTAATATTGGTGCAAATTTTAAGCTGTAATTTTGTTCTAAACTTTTTCAGTATCAGCAAATGGTCAACACCCAACCATGGAGTTTGACAATACACACCGATACTTATATGCATTTATGAAGATTTTTGGCAGCCAGAGAAGAACATCAGATACTAACTATCTGGAGTTAGAGTCAGACTCCACAGGTTCAGGGCTCAGTCCCACTAGGTTGCACTGACTCCAAATATCAGTCACAAGCATCAAGCACCTAGATACAGCCCTCTGTCTCAGGGATGCCCACAATCCCTTCCTTCAGGTTTAACTAATTTCTATAACAATTTCACATGACACAGGAAAATGCTGTACTTACCTGCTCACCTATGTATTATAACAGCCAAATGGAAACTATGCATAGAATGAGATGTGGGCGAAGGAAAAGAAAGGGCCCATTGCTTCTGTTACTGCTCCCATCACCAACCCAGAAATGCTCTGAAACTCACCTTGTAAAATTTGGGTGGAGTGGTTCTTGAGCAGGTGCGATTGATTAAGTCATTGGCCCATGGGAATTAACTCAATCCTCCAGCCCCTGCCTTCTTCCCCAGAGGTCAGAAGTGAGGCTGAAAGTTCTGACCCTGTAACCACACTTTGGTCTTTCTGGTAACCAGAAAATGTGCACACCCTGAAATAGACGCATTCTTTCAAGAAAAGAATCCCCTCCAGTTTTTTTCAGGGTTTTTGTGATGCCAAATTGCTCAACTTGATAGCTTTTTTCCTTTCCAACCGTTGAGCAAACCAAATTATTTATATGCAGAAAGATTAGCTTTTTACTGCTTTTTGAATTGTAGCAAATTATGCTATACATTTTATACGTGTTATGTCTTAAATAATGAATTTTCAATTGTTAATGGGTATCAGAGGATCAAGGGCACGAAAATTATGATTTAATAAGAAACCTAACCTAACACAGTAGTTGCAACTTCATTGTTGACCTTCAGAGCAGACACTTTGGCTGGAGCTGCCAAGGAAACAAAATGAAGCTAATTTTCTACTTTTCTCTATTTTAAAAGGGATTAATGAATATAAATATCTATATGATATTAACAGCTTGTTTTTTATATATTCTTATTGACTTCAAAGAGGAAGAGAGAGAGAAAGGGAGAGGGAAAAGAAGAGGGAGAGGAAGAGTACTTTTCTTACTGAAGCTTATCCTGAAAGCCTCCACTATCACAGCAGAGAGAGACTGTGTCTCTGAGCTGAAAGCATGAGGATTTTGTAAAAGCTCATACCCTTTTGGGTAAAACTCCAGACTCCAGGAAACTGGCAGCCTCTCATACTCCCAAAGTGTGAAGTTGGAGGATCCTTTTAAAGAGAAACGTGAACAGCTACAAAGGAAAAAAGTATGGGAACTGACCTCAGGTGATCCTGGAAAATTCACCTGACTGATGCTGGCCTTGAACACTGAACTTCCAAGCAGACAGTTAGTGCCTCTTTTATAAATAGGAGGAAATTGTGGATAAGTAAACATTTATGGAAAATATCAAACATGAACCAAATCAGAATAAACAACCAGTAAAAAGCAATCTAGACAAGGCAGAGGAAATACAAAGAGTAGAGAAAAATTCAAATAACATATTAATACCTTCAGAAATTAAGAGAATTACATCTATGAAAACAAAACAGGATCCTATTTTTAAAAAGGTGGGGGGGAGATTGCAATAGAGAATATGATAGAGCATCTGGAAATATAAAAGGTGATAGCTGAAATTTAAAAGTTCAATAAAATATTAGAAGATAAGTTAGTAAAATTCCCCAGAAAGTAGTTCAAGAAAACAAATAGGGATAATAAACACAAAAGAATTTATGCAGGAGGTTCAGAGGCTTATTTCAGAACTAGAGGCCCAGTACATGGATTCGTGCACTGGTGGGATTCCTTAACCTGACCTAGCCAATCCAGGACCCTTGGGGAATGTTGGAGAGCTGGTTTAGTCCCGATCCCTGCTGTCCAGCCTGAGAGACCCCACCAGTGCACTAAGGGCCTCAAGTATGCATGTAAGATCTTTGGTTAATCTCTTCCCACCCTCCCTATAGCAGCAACCTTACCCGTGGCTGATTCTGCAAAGAATTGGCTTCCTCCTCTACTGGTCAGAGCATCTGCCCCCTGATGGTCATTGCACTTCAAAGCTACTGAGTGAATGTTTAAACAGTCAGATGGTCGCTTAGGCTTTTATATTTATAGGTAGGCTTCCACAAAGAAAAACAGGAAACAGTGGCAAAGAAATTGGCAATTTATGAAATGGACTAAAAGCTGAGGAAGGTGAGTCTCCAACATAAAAAATCTTCAATCCCAAATTCTAGAAGGCAATGAACATTGCTTTCATTTTTATGAGAAATAATGTATTTCAGCTTAGCATTCCATACCCAAACTATCAAGTGAGTGTAGCATTAAATCACTTCCAGGCATGCAAGGATCCTGAAATATCTATTTCCCTTAAACCTTTCTTTAAGAAGCCACTCAAGAATGTGCTTCAGTGAACAGGGCAGTTCACCAAGAAAGAGAAAGAATGTAGTCCAGACACTTCACATCCATGGACCATAAGAAGGTCTAGAAACAGTTCCAGGTTCAAAAAGCACCACTGGAGATGGCAGGCTATGAAGGAAATCACCATGGGGATAAAACAGAACTGATAAGAGTGATTGTTACTGTGTTTGAGAGCTTGAAAATAGATGATAATTGAAAGATTTCTAAGTATTTGGGGACAGTAAAAGGGGAGTAACAATAGGTATAAGGAAAAGTGGGAACTCATGGATATACCTTACAAAATAAGTATAAGAGAAATGAAAGGTAACAATGACTTAGAAGTAAGTTATATCATGTTAATATAATATATACTGATGACTGATTTAATGAAGGACTAGATGTGTCTGAGGAGTTTACAATTCCAAAAACTGTAAGAAAAGCCAATAGCTAATATGTGGAAATAAAAATTTTTAAAGAAATATAATAATATTTTGAGAAATAGGAAGAAAATAATAAAAAATGCCAATAGAGTTGGAAATGCTTGCTTCTGGAGAGTACACAAATTAAAATTTGCTTTATTTTCCTATCCTACAAGGTAATCACTATACATTCAAAAATTTGATTTGATAATGATACAATTTACCCTCTTTCAATCATTCTGTTGATACTGGTATTATTCTGTTGACATTTGATTTTTCATTTGCTGTATTATTATTCAATTAACCATGTATCCTGAACATTTCAATTTATAGACCTCTTCACCTTTTAAATCATTGTATAGGATTCATTCTCTATGTATTATATTCTTGTCATTTTTTTTTTTTTGTCAATTCTCTTTTTAGGAAAATTAGGATCTTTCTGGTATTTTGTTCTTAGCAACAACACTTGGATAAATATTCTTAGTACATTATTTATACCTATATATGTTGTATTTCTTTAGGACGCATTTCTTTTAGGACATGTTGCTACAAATGATATTGCCTGTTGAAAATTTAGATATTGATAAAGATTTCCATTACTTTCCAAAATAGTGGACAAATAGATTCATACAAATCATTCTCTACACTGAATAATAATATTGATGCATGTAGTATTTTTTCTTTCTGTGATTTTGTTGCATGAGAAAAAACTTTCTGTAGAGAAACATTAACATTGATAAAATAAAGGTTTTGTTTACATTGTTCCTCAATCTAATGGAAATCTGACATAACTGTCCTCTGTATAAATTTTTTAAATGTTTGTTTTTATTTTTCATTAAGAAAATTAATTTTAATTCTACTATCTGGAGAGTTTTAATGAGGATAAATGTCAAACTGTATTTAATATTTTGACATGTATCAAGTTGTCTTCATTAAACAGATATACTCTACAGAAAATAAATAAATTATTTGATGTTTAAGTACATGGCAGAATGTGTTTTTTTAAATTATTTTTTTAGAGAACATATCTAGAGAATTGTGTTTTTTATACATACCTGAATTTTTAAAACCAGAATCTGAATGATGAGTTTGCTGTTCTGGAAGAGGATTCCCTAAAGATTTATGGCTTTCATTTATTCATTAGAATATACAAGACTATTTAACTGAACCAGGGAATTATCTCTCTCTCTTTTTTTAAACATTCTTCTTAAGAACATTCATAGAAAAGCACTTGTCATATAGTCATTGAGCTGTATTTAAAAGTCTGAAGAATCCTTATGAGACTTTTTAATAAATGTACTTTTGTTTTTCCTTCTTTAGGGGCACGGCGATTGCCGGTATTGTTTTTGGAATCGTATTTATCATGGGGGTCATTGCTGGAATCGCCATATGTATCTGCATGTGCATGAAAAACAACCGCGGGACCCGGGTGGGTGTCCTCAGCACTGCCCGCATCAATGCCATCGCCTCCTATCCTGGTAAGCAAAATTGCTCACTTCTTCTCAGGAAAAAGTCATGCTCTACTCCTTGGAGAGACAAAATATTAAAGAAACTCACTGGAATAATCTTCGAGTATGTAGCGTATTTCTAAATTAATGTAGATTGAAAATATAGCTTTCATTGGCCATTACTTAGATCCAAATAATAAAATCCACCTGATATTTGAAGATATTCATATTTTCAATGGCTGTCTCATTGACTACAATGACCAATCTTTCAGTGTATCTATCTGCCACTGGGGATTGAGCCTGCATGTGCCCTGACAGAAATTGAACCTTGACCTTCTGGTTCATAGCTTTATGCTCATAGTTGAGGCACACCAACTGGGCTAAAACTAATTTCTAAAACATTTAAAATATTAGTTATTAAATTATAAGACATAAAATATTTTCATGTGAAGTCTTGTGGGTTTTTGTTTGGGGGGGGGTTGAACTTTCTATTTCACACATGGAAACATGTTTTTTACATGTTATAGTGGCATCATTAATACTAGTAGATCACAGAGGCATGTTGCATTTTTAGTAAATGTATGATTCTGGGAACCGATTAATGCAAAAAACATAATAAACCTTATGGTAGAAGCATTTTTACTGCAAAAAGACAAGGTCTTTGAGACATAATGTGCTTGATTACTTCTCATTTCCTTCTCAAAGACACTAATTAAGCTTTTATTTAAAGGATAGGAGAAGCAACTCAGAGTAGAATTGAATGCTTTTCAAAATCTTCCATGTATGGAAATATAAAATGTTTTTACCCATAGTAATTAATTAACCCTGTGATAATAGAGATAGTCTGGAGGCCACATAAGTGAATAGAAAATAATTTAGCCAAGGTTATAGTACCCCTTGGTGAAAGTGCTCAGTGGGGAACCTGACAGTGAACATAATTACTCTAGTGGGAAGGAGATTACCAAGAAAAGGTAATCTGCCATCTCTGACCCTTTGGACAGTGACCTTCTGAAATAGTTTTTGTTTTGTTTTTTAATTCCTGTCATGTTGGGTAGAATGAATGATGTCTGTTTAATTATAATTGTTTTTAAAACCATCTGTGTGAAAATAAGGATTATTATTTCAGTCTTACATTTCTACTACTTGCCAGAAATTCAATATAAACAAAGAAAAGTAATCACATTAACCCCTTTTTAAGAAGTTGGCTTGGATTACACACAACTGGAAGGAAATAATACAGAAGGACCCTAAAAAGAGATAAAAGTCAAATGCCCATGAAAGGATAACAAGGCATTTTAATGTTATCCTTTAGAGAGTTGAGATTTGAAGTGCATTACTGAGTACCTGATGATTGATTGATAGCAGATAGGCATCTAGATATAGATGATAGATAGATAGATAGATAGATAGATAGATAGATAGATAGATAGATAGATAGAAACAGTGGAGGAGGGGGAGGCTCTTGCTAACAGAAAATGCCAAAGGATACATGTAGAAAGGAGTTGTGGAGTTGGAAAATTCATTTTAAAACCATCATAAGAAAGATTTAGGATAAGAATCATCAATTTATGGTAAGTAAATATGTGAATGTTCTTTAAGTATTTCCAGATTCTTGTTAATTATAAAATTGAAGAAACCCAACATCTTGACTGGGACATAAAAACTAATATCCCCAAAGAAAGACAAGTGGACATCTTATATCTTCGGGTGACACAGCTTCAACTGTGTAGTATTCTGGTTGGAAGTTCACAGCCTGAATCTTAGCACGAAAACTTATCTGTCAAACCCAAGTTGAGGAACATTCTATAAAATAACTAGCTTGCAGTATTTAAATTCTCTTGGAAATATTTCATTAAGAAATTAACACTCCTGCCCTGACCAGTTTGGCTCAGTGTCAGCCTGAGGACTGAAGGGTCCCGGGTTTGATTCCAGTCAAGGGAAGGCACTTTGGTTGTGGGCACATTTCCAGTAGGGGGTGTGCAGGAGGCAGCTGATCAATATTATTCTCTCATGGATGTTTCTAACTCTCTATCCCTTTCCCTTCCTCTCTGTAAAAAAAAAAAAAAAATCAATAAAATATATATTTTTTAAAAGAAATTAACACTCCATTTGAATCAGTGAATTAGTATTTGAGGACAACCTTATAGGAATATGTATAGGACATGGAAGACTTTCAATTACTCATCTGAGGAGGAGTTGATGATAAGGTGTCTTCTAATTGTGCCTATTTTTTAAAAAATGAAATCAGAAGCAAGTCTTACACTAAAATTGGGTTAAGGAAGTGTTTGTAGTTATGGAGAAAGAAAAATGCATGAAACAGTAATCTCAGAGAATGGAGGGGTGCTGAAATACTTAATTTCCAGTCACTACCAACAGTCTGCACACTTAAGAATCAATCAGCACAATTGTGCATTTTTATCTTCCTGTTCTAAGCTCCTGGGTACAGAGCTGGGTAGCCAAAATGTTGGATTTAATTAGGATTGGAGTTTCCTCAGGCAATGGGGAAAGAAAGAAAAAAGAAAATTGATGATAGATGCACAGAAATGATTTCTGTGATGGACCATAAATATAAGCTGCATAAAGATATGAAGTCAGAAAAGAGGTGACATCAATTTAAATTATCTTTTTTTTTTAATGTCATCAGTAAATTGAAAATTCAGGTGAGGTTCAAGTTGTTTTGGAATGTGCCTTCTAGAAAGATAAAGAGTTGTGTTCATATTTGCAAAATGGTAGAATTATTGGCTACAAAGTGAGAAAATGATTTTTGAATGCAAAAAATGTCCAAAGGAAAGAGAAGTAGGGTCACTTGTGTTAAAGAATGACTAAAGCAGATAATTTAGGTGATAATAAACCAACACCATGACGTAAGCAGTCTTCAAAATGAAGATTACAAAATGAGCTGAAGGGAAGGACCTTTTACAAGGTAAAAAAATAAAAACAAGGAAGATAAAGATAGTAAGCGATAACCATTTAGGTGATTCCTGGAATTTTATTCTAAAAAAACAATTCAAAATAATAAGTCCATGTGCAAAAAAGACATTTATCACGCTATTATTTATAATAATAATAAATTGTTGATCTCAAAACAATAGAATGATCAGTAGAATAATATGCAGCTATTAATAATGTTTATGAAAAATATATAGCACGATAAAAAGCACTATGTTATAACACAAAGTATAAAAAAGCATCTAACATTTTATATCACCACAAGGATATAAAAAAACAAATGATTAGAAGAGAATATATAATCTTTAGAAAATTGTGGTCACAAAATTTTAGATGATTGTTTTTGTTTGCAATTTTTCTAAAATAACGTTGCATAGTTTTTATAACACTATGCATCTTCCTTTTACTTTTGCTTTAGAAATGTTGGCCTGAGTGGGTGAAAAACATTAAATTTTTTTTCTATGAATTGATAGCACCCTTACATTTTCTAATATTGTAGACAGCTATAATGACATTAGGGATAAATGGCACGCCTGCTCTACTTTAATCAGAAAACCAGAATATTGGTTATAAAAGAATTTCTAAGGCACCCTTATCTCCATCTGCATCCGTATATCTTTTAGAGATGACTTAACCTTTAAAGAAGAACAAATCCTTTTAGAGTTAATCCGGAATTCTAAAAATGGATACCCCGTGCAAAGTCGCTTCCCAGTGAAACCTTATTATCTGCAAGAAAGAAAGATAGCACAGCCCACAGATATACAAGTATTATTTCAAAACTGTCTTCCAGGAGCTGGGACCATAAACGATGTGCCATGTCTATTCCGTGATGGATCGTCCAAATATTGCTCTTCAGCATTATACGAGCACTTCATCAAAATTCAAGGGCTAGATGAATGCAAGAACACTGGTTCATATGTTAGATTTTCTTGTTCAACATGCAGCTGTGTACACCATGGGGACTCTCGCTGAAATGTCCTCTGGCAGTTTTTATGCAGATGGCAAAACATAAACGCTTTGTTACCGAGGCAGAGCCGCATACTGTGGCCTGACAGAGAAGGATGCAGTCAATCTGTAGAAGCATTCGGTGTGCACTCCTCACGTGGGAGGCAGGGAAAAGACTCGATATGAGAACAACTTAAAAGCACATGCTGCAAAGAAGCAGTTCAATGGGTCTCCAGCTGTAGCTTCCTATGTTCCATGAAGGCTGCGTTTCTTGGCTTGGAGGAAGTTCATTACAAATCTCTTTGTCTCAGTCCTCCTGGACAGAAAGAAGCAAAGGAGTGGGCGTAATGCAGAGGGGATGTGTGATTAGCCTCCGCAGGAGTTATTCCATTTGATTGTAGAAAATAAGGCGTGAAATAGCCCAGCCTCCAAAGGTCTAAAGCAGCCACGGGGATGCTGGAGTTATCATTGCTGCTTTCTCTACCGAGCACTGTCCTTGTCAGAAGGCCCCAGTTTGCTCAGACCACTGGAGGCTGGCAGAGCCTTTGCTGACCAGAGAAATCTCTGGAGGATATCCCACCCAGTACCATGTCTCCATCTTCCTCTTTTCTTAAGTCCCTCAATCCCACTTCCTCATATGGATGGGCCCCTGGTTGGCAAACTGCAGCTCGTGAGCCACATGCGGCTCTTTGGCCCCTTGAGTTTTTAGCAAAGGCCAGCTTAGGAGGACCCTAATTAAGTTAATAACCATTAACTATATAGTTTAAGTTTGAAAATTTGTCTCTCGAAAGAAATTTCTATCATTGTACTTTTGATATTTGGCTCTGTTGACTAATGAGTTTGCCGACCACTGGGATAGGCAGATCTGTAAGTCATCCAACTCCTGGCAAAGTCAGCCAACTAAAAGCGATCAAAAGAACCAGTTTGTGTTTACCAATAGGGTGAAGGCCAGTGTTTGCCCAGGTATATCTGTCAGAACACTGTCATAATCTTATTGGTACAAGCACATTTTAGAAGACACTTTAGAGAAATAAGGTGGTTGAAATGGTGCTTGCTCTCTCCTTCCATTCTGATGTTAAGAAGCTGGCCTTTGGTTTGGTTTTGGCATTATTATGACACTAGGCTACCTTCACAGTAAGCAATTCGACATGTCAATTCCAAGTAGAATCATGATCTGGTTGGTGTTTCAAGTACTGGCAAGTCATCAGAGGCCTGGTGAGGGTTTGCTCAGATGTTGAGGAATGGCTGGGATCTTAAAGGTATGAAGCACTCAGGGGTACCTCTCTTCAACCATAGAGATGGGGTAGAGATCACTACAAAACAGACATCCATACATAGCCATAATAAAGTGTATTAGATGTGATTTAAAAACACACTGACAGCCAAAACCGGTTTGGCTCAATGGATAGAGTGTCGGCTTGGAGACTGAAAGGTCCCAGGTTCGATTCCGGTCAAGGGCATGTACCTTGGTTGCGGGCATATTCTCAGTAGGGGGCGTGCAGGAGGCAGCTGATCAATGACTCTCTCATCGATGTTTCTAACTATCTCTCTCCCTTCCTCTCTGTATAAAATCAATAAAATATATTTTAAAAATAAATAATAAATAAATAAATGCAGTTCCTTACTTCTTAAAAAAATAAAAATAAATAAAAACACACTGACATATATTTTAATAAAAAATTAAGAAAATTTTTCAAATAAAATTTAGGAAACTAAATTCTTCATCCTTATTTGCACACCTGCTTATCCTCTTTTTTATTTTTTATTTTTTGTTCTTGTAATGACTCCATGACTTTCCAAGTAAGTATGGGAACCCAGTACAGAGTGTCCAATACTTCAAACACCTTCTTTTACTCTCCACACCCTTCTCCACCTACCCATACCCAGTCATCACCTCAGAGCTCAGAGATGCTTAAGGGCTTTTATGATTCCCGCCCCTCTCCCATACACTGCCTTATAATTGCTCACATAGCTCTTATATGATCTCACTTTTTCTTTGATCCTCCTCAATTCATACTGCAAAGGCACAATCACTAGAATATTTTTTTTAAAAAGTCTCTTGATAATTGTACACTGTTCACTCCTTGTGTGATTTTCAAAGTCCACCATGATGATAATACTATCAGATTCCTCAACATCTTTCCCATTTCTCTCCTCCGTGCACTTTGTGCTTTGTACAAAAATGTTTTTCTGTTTCTGTGCTTTTGATCAAACTTGAATTATCCTCTAGCCTCTTCTCTGTCTGTCCTTTCACATCATATTTCCGAGAAACTTAGCCTAAGCCACCAACCCCAAATACTTTGACCAATAGCACTTGGCCCTCAGCCTGATAAAACTCAGATTTTTGCAGGCAAAAATGATGTCTCCTCTCAAACACCCAGCCTAGTGGCATAAAGATGGTGGATTCTCAAATATTTGCTACCTGCCTGATGCCCTTTTTCTTTTCTTTTTCAGTGGCACCACCTCCCTATAGTTACAACCATGAGATGGAATACTGTGCAGAACTGCCTCCTCCCTACTCCCCAACCCCACAGTCTTCAGCACAGCGTTCTCCACCCCCTCCTTATCCTGGACACCAAAGGAAATAATCTTTCTCCCTGAAGAGAATATGTTCCTGCCACACATCTTGTCATGAATAAAATGCCCACACTCAGAAACAGACAGGAAAGGACTGCTGTGAGGAATAGTTCTTTGAGTCAAACAATGTGCAAGTGCAATGCCTAGGCTAAGAGATACAGGGTTTTTAACCCTTCTCAGAGCTGACCCCCATCTGGAGTATTATGTTTGGTTTGATGGAACCACATTTGAAGAGATCTACTGATCACCGTAAACACATTTGGAAGAGAATCATGAGAGAGACAAAATACCTGAAGATCATGTTGCGTATGGAAATTGCAACATTGATCCAAAGAGAAGATTTATGTGAGACAGGACTACTTAAAGAAACCACCAGATTCTGTATGCCATGTAGCTTTAAGAGTCAGAATAAGAATTATTCATCCTTCCATTCATCAGTAAACGCGGATCAAATGCATGAGAACCTACTCTGTGCCTTATACTGTTGGAAGCACTGGATGGAAGTTAAAGGAACTTTGGTTTTAGGGCTTTTGTGAAGTGCCCTGTTACCAAGGCTTCAAACAGAACCTGGCTGGTGATCTGTGAGAGATTTGCTCTAGAAGGGTTAGCTCAGTCAAATGGTCGAAGGTGGACCTCAAAGTTCTGCTCATGTTATACGCAGGTGTGGGGTAGATTTGAATGCCTCCAAAAACAAAAACTACTGGAATAGTTGGTTCTGGCCTATTTGAGAGTTGAAACAGGATCAAAGGGATTCAAAGTTGCTTGAAGCCAAGAACTCTTCAATGCTAGTTACTGCCACCTAAAAACCATCTGCCTTTACTTAGTGTATTATGACAAAGGTTATTTCAGTGATGGGGAAAACATGTATGAAGTTCCATAAGCAACAAATTCTTCACCTCATATTAAAAGATCACAAGCCAAATATTTTTTTTCTGTGTCAGGAAGAAAAATATCTTAAAACTTGACCATGGAGATATACAGGTTTGCAAAAAAGAAGAGGAAGAAATTAGGTGTGGTTCTGTGGATTTCCATTCATTCATAGCTTAGACAGATTTCTATTTCTCTTTTGTGATATTTTGATAATCTATTCCCTTGAAAAAGTTAATGGAATAGGTTGGCTATTAATACCAAATTGTTGCCTTTTGCCAAAATCCAAATGTTATCAAGTGCCTATCTTTAGGTGTAAACATTGTTAATAAATAATTCTAATGTGCCATATTTTTCTTCAAGTGGCCTTAATATTTGTTTTTATGTTGAACTTCCCATGTATTTAAAATTTACACTAAGAAATTTTTGGGACTAAATTATTAAATTTTTATATCACTTTGCAATTAAATCTAAAATGTTTAATCCAACATCATTGTTATGCTTCAGTGAAACCCCAAAACAGTGCTAAGAAATTGCTGAATAAAACAAAAGAAATGCCTTAAGGTATAAATTATAGTTTCCATTCTTGTAGTTGGGAAACTTAGTAGCTAATATACATAGCATATTTTACTCACAAATAATACTTCTATCTGACTGAAATACGGTTTAACTGCCAGTGAGATTTAAAAACTAGTGAGTTTTCAATGACTTGCTTGGTTTTAGGCACTGACAATTATCTTACTCATGAAGACACAGTGCATTCAAGAGCTCCATCCTATCCTAGTGACTGAGCTTTAGCACAATTTTCACAGCACATCCGCTTTCATTTATCTCTCTTCTTTGCAGTGTGATCAGACCCAATCCCACTGAAGCTGTACAGCTCAAAGGACCAAGGCCTCTGTGACTGAATTTCAGAATGTTGGTTGCAAATGCACCATATATTTCTTTAAAAAAAAAAAACAACAGAGAGGAAAAGACCAGTGGAAATTGAATTCTCATCATCTTCACCATCAATAAACATTTATTATGTGCCTCTTATAGCCTGCAATCATTACCCACATAGGAGCCATTTCTGTCCACACCATCTCTCTTCTTTGAGTCGTTTTATGGTCTCCCGTAAAATATATCACAAACCCATAGACCTACCAGAAATGACTATTTTTATTATTTGTATTTAGTGTCACAATAGCATAAATGTGCACATTATCAGGATAGACTTTTGGAATTCACTGATTATTTTCATAAATGAAACATCTTGGGGGAAAATAGTATTTGTTGTGAAAGCTTTGAATTATGATTATTTAAAAACTACTGTATTTGCTGAGGCCAAAATGTTTACAATAAGCAATAAAATGAAACAACCCATTATAACATATTTTAATTGTGTCTATTTTATTTCACCCTCCTTTCCTGCTGATCTAGCCTTGTTCTTCTGTACAAAAACGCAAGACTGGAGCCAGGTAGACTTTATTTTCAATCCTGTTTCCTGCCTGTATGATTTAATACAGGCCACTTCATCTCTCTAAAATGCAACTTTCTGCTCTGGAAAATGTAAATCATACAATGGGCTTTATCAGGTTTTGTGCAAATTGGATGGATACACACAACATACTGGCACATAGAAAGCGTTCTATTAATATTTGCCAAAAATACATTAACAAAAGAATGACAGCCTCTTGGACTGTGCTATCCAACACATTAGCCACCACCTACACATGGTTATTTAAATGTAAATGAATTCAAATTAAACTAAATGGCAAATTCATTTCCTCCTTCTCACTGGCCACATTTCAAATGCTATACATGGCCTCACATGGCTACTAGCTACCTTTTTGGGCAGTACTGCTCTAGAAAAATCCTTTATGTGAAACGCAATAAGGTAGCAGGAAGGAGCTGAAAAAGAGACCTCTAGAGTCCTCTATTCCAGGAATTGACTTTGTCAGCTAATGACGAGGTCCATCACCAGTATGTGTGAAGAGGTCATTGCTCCGAAAGTAAGGCTGTGACCTGCAGGAGAGCTCCTGAGCAATGAGAAGCCTACTCGGGGCCATGGCTGAGGAAGCTATTATAAGAGTTGATGGGCTGGCCAAAACCAGTTTGGCTCAGTGGATAGAACGTCGGTCTGCGGACTGAAAGGTCTCAGGTTCGATTCCGGTCAAGGGCATGTACATTGGTTGCTGGCACATCCCCGGTGGGGGGTGTGCAGGAGGCAGCTGGTCAATGTTTCTCTCTCATCGATGTTTCTAGCTTTCTATCCTTCTCCCTTCCTCCCTTAAAAAAATCAATTATATATATATATATGGAGTTGATGGGCTGAATCTAGATGACAGATCCTGGACCCAGCCCAGAAGCTGGTGAGACAGCTAATAAATTCTCAGACTCTAATAAATTCTGCAGCTGCCCTGCTCAGCCCTAGAAGCCATGAGAGGAGTATTGAGGGCTACCTACATCTTCCTAAGGTGTGGCTCTGTGGTGTACTCTTCTATTAATTCATAGCCATCTTGCTGCCACCAGATAAAGCTGCACTCTCCACTCACCCACTCTATTCCCAACTAATCCCTGTAGCCACACCCATTGCTAATGCGGGGCTATTGCCGAAATAGGATCTGGAAACGATCAACTAGTGGGGCTCTGGGTGCTATTGCTTTATTTTTTAACTTAATTAAAATAACACCAGAATGTGAGTCACATGATCCTCTTACTCATCCCCAGAGATGCTGCTAAGGACTACCAGAGCCTCAATCAGAACCTGGTGGAAATATGCAATTTTAATTTTCAAACTAAAGGCCCAGGCTGCAAGGAGTATAGCTCAATTTATCTACGTTCAATGCTCTTCTGATCCAACCGCACTTGGCGGCATGGTTCAGTGCAAACTGTGTTGGGACCTTGAGAAGGAAAAGGTGACATAACTAGCTTTAAAAAGATCTTACGGGTGAACCCAGCCCTTGCCTATTATGAGTCATTAATGTAGAGGAAAGAACAAAGGTTTCCGAGTAAGAGAGACTTGGGTTTCTCCCTCATCTCTGTCACCTTCTGGTTATGTGTTCTGAGCCAAATAAGTGAGTTTTCATAATCTCAGTCTACCCAAAAGATGTGAACAGCACCACCCTTGCCAGGTTGTTGCAATGATTGTAAACAGTATATGTAGAACATCTGTCATAGAGATTCTATCTGGTTGATGGCTCAGACAGACACAAATAAATATGCTATTCTCTTTCCAAACTCTGTGCCCCAATTCACAAGCCTCACCACTTCTATAAGCAAGTGTGATAGTGATCCATTGCTGTGTAACAAATTACCTGAAAACTTTGTGGCTACAGACAATGACATTTTCAATAAAAAATGAAATCTAGCCGAAACCTGTTTGGCTCAATGGATAGAGCGTCGGTCTGTGGACTGAAAGGTCCTGGGTTCGATTCCGGTCAAGGGCATGTACCTTGGTTGCGGGCATATCCCCAGTAGGGGGTGTGCAAGAGGCAGCTGATTGATGATTCTTTCTCATCAATGTTTCTAACTCTCTATCCCTCTCTCTTCCTCTCTGTAAAAAATCAATAAAATATATTTTAAAAAGAAAAAAAAGAAAGAAAATGAAATCTAGGTGTGGCTTAGCTGAGACCCCTGGCTCAGGGAGTATCACAGGCTGCAATCATCTGAATTTGCAATGGAGGAAGGATCTGCCTCCAAGCTCAATTCCTTGCCATTTAGGTCTTTCCACAGGGCAACTGCAGATATGTCAGCTTGATTCCCACAGAGCAAGCAAGCAGAGCAGAGCATGAGGGAGCATGTCTGCAAAAACAGTGTTGGCAAGAGGGGAAGCATAGATTGTTAAACCTAATCTTGAAAGTAACACCCCATCACTTTTTATATGTTCTATTCTATAGAATTGGGTCACTAGGTCCAGTTTGCACAAAAGAGAGGTGAGAAAAGTACACCAGTGCACAAATAGCAGGAGGTGAGAGCATTTGGAGCCAGCCTACCATCACAGGGATATTTTATCTCATTCCTGAAGTCCATTATTTGGAGTTTAGGCAATCTTTCCTCTTACAGGTTGGACCAACCCAACAGCTGAAAGAATTCGAGGGCAGTTCTTGGCTATGATCAGATTGTTTTTAGAGAGCTGATGGGTAGAATGGAGCCAACAGCA